TTTAAAAAAAAAAAAAAAATTTGAACCTATAGAGATAGAAGCCTTGGTTCTACTCCAGTTACTCTGTTGATATTAAATCTATGATCTATAATGTTGCCACTGAATGACCTTTTTATAAATTGATGATTTGCTTTATGTCTCCATCATTCTGAAGAGAGCTCTACTAATAAATTATCTGATTGAATATTATGAGTTTTTGAGTTCATTAGTTAAGTTGTAGAACAATTATAGGCAACTTTTTAGTGTAGCATTTTTGTTGCTTATAGTAATCAAAATTTGCAACTAGTCATAAAGACATTTTATATTGCTCGCAACCTTTAGGTTCCATACTTCCATATCAGGCCATTGTTTGATTCCTCCGAAAGCCTTAGCAACAGAACTTTGTATAGGATATCGATCACAGCCCTCCCCTTTGTGCAGATATGCTGTATTGTATTGACTCTGTGGCCAAGTTATTTTAATAATTTTAATAAATATTCAATGCTTACACAGGGGTACTGCTCGATGATTTACTGGTTGCCGAAGACCTTGCCGCTGCCGAAACAACCAGCGCGGCTTCCCATGCTGCTGCAGTCGCTGCAGCATCCAATCTGCAGCAAGGGAGAATGCAAAACAGATATGGGTTTACTGAAGGCAGAATAAAGGCACATGATGTGCCAGATGCTTCTAATGCTGATGGTGCGGTTGTTGTTGGAAATCCTGTTGCGCCCCCAGAGAATGGCGATATATACACAGATATAAGCACGGAAAACGTAACTCACCATTCCAGGTTAGTGCTGTGGCCTTGTACGATTACATTTTCCTGTACATTTCTAGTTTCCAGTGTTGGAAAATGAAGGAGAGTTTTGTTGGTCTCTTTACTAACATTGATATTGTGTTTACGCTATTTCTGAAATATTATTTCTTAATGAATGGTCCACCTCAATATTTTGATAGAATTTATAATGTAAAAGATTGTAGGTCGTGGCCCGCATTTAAAACATGATTGTGATTGATGGGTTTCAGATGTTTTGGAACTGCTGATATCTTAACATCCTAGCTCTTTTTTTTTTTTTTTTTTTTTT